GAGTTTATATAATATTGTATTAAATCATTGTTTACTAAATTTATTTAATTCATTATCTGTGATAAAAAATAAAATAAATTATAATAACTTTTATGAGTGTAATAATTTTTAACTATCTGGTTTTCAATTTCGGTAAGTTGAGCAATAAATGGTTTGTTTGCCCTAACACAAAACTGTTATCTTACGGCATACTGAAAGTAGGAAAGCTAAAGTTTTGTCGAAATTTTTATGAAACAAAAATGCGAGATGAAATGCTTTCATTTTGAAACTTTCAACATTGAATTTTAATATCTCGGTATAACCAAGTATGTTTTTGGAAATAAATATCGATATGGGAATTTATTATTAATATTTTTATTTAAATAAAGGCTTTCGTACATTTTAATAATCGCTGCTTTGACATGAGCCTTACTTATAATATACATATGTGAACAAGGCCCAAGTTTCTAAAGGTTTCTTAAACTATACTCATTTAAATTATTATTTTTAATGCAAGCTTTTTTCACAATATTAATATTTTTCTTTCATTATCATTTTCTTCTTCTTCTTCCTGGCAATTTCATTGCTTTAGCCAGGGTCTGCCTTACATGATGTGAATAGTCTTGGCTAATTTTTACGACCGGCCGCCTGCCTGACATCAACCCTCTTTGGGGAATCAACATTAATCAGTGATGTCTAATACTCTTAGAATGTATGTACATATCACTCATAAAAATCACATTGGTAATTGCACGGGCCAGGATTGAACTCGCGCCCACGTGCATGAGAGGCGGGCTTTTTAACCACTAGGCCACCACTAACATCATTATTATTTTCTGGATATAAGGTATAATTCATTTTACGCTTTATAATTTGATGTCATGCAATAAAAGCGTATGTTTTAGATTTTTTTACTATATTCATTACAAATACTTGACACTACATGTATATTTTGTTTTGTATTGTGGTTTATTGAATATTTGTGTTTGAAATATTGTAATAAACTCTTTAACATTTTGTGGTAAGTTTGTTTATAATAAAATGTTCTACATTGACGTTCTCCCCCATCTCACCATTAATTTTTTGTAGAATGTAACTATTGAACAAAGGATCAGATATCGAAATTAATCGAATAGAAAACTTATCTCTCAAAACTCATTTAAGAAGATTGAAGGTAATTCATGTATAAAAAAATATGTCAAATATAATAGACCTAGTATGGTATAACGAAGATAATTCATTCAGTTTGTCTTTTAAATTTTTGGACAGACGGAAATATTACATCAGTAAATTAACTGAATGTAAATAATCCTATTAATGGAGATAGAATTATTATTGAAACGTTCACTTTCAATCCTTAATTGATTTTTCTTGATAATGTTTTATAAATCATTCTTAATTTTTAATCATCATTTTCCTTTTTTACTTAGATATAGTTTATAAGGTAGATAGAGTAACCTATATTTTGTTATTGTAAACAAGTGTGTCGGTAAAATTATGAGCCCAACAAAATGAAAACACCAATGAAATTCAATTTACGACTTTTGAGCGAGGTTATGTGGAACGTTTAAGAATTGACTAAATTCTATGGCCGTATACATAAGGAGAGGAGTCACGTATTGATGCTATGTTGACAAAATAGCTTAGTTGAATACTCAGTTGAATAGAATATATGCAAACAAAATCAAATGATATATATAATTATATAAACATGCCCGAAGAGTTAAACACAACGGATCTTATCTGAATCTGGATGTTCTACACTTTCTTAGTTTTATTTAAATTGATTGCTTAACTAAACGACAACTTGTTCTAGACAAGAAGTTAGTGGTGAACGAGCAGGTACTTCAAACGAATAGTAACGCTACCGAACTTCCAGATTTATTTATTACAATTGTTTAAATTTAAATCTATTGACTGTGTGTTCTACCATTTGTACAAAAAAAAGTTTTCAGGAATTATTGTGAAGAATTATTCATATTATTCTATATAATGGTTTCAGTGAATTAAAAGTCCATTTATTGCAAACTCTTTTTTTCTATACACGTATATGCCATCTAATGATGTTTTTACAGAGGTTAGATCTAAAAAGTCAAGCAAACTAAAGTCCCAACAATAATAAGTGATCATTATAAACTTATTTTAAAAATAATTACAATTACTATATGTCGGATATTGTTACCACTTCATTGTTTTTAAAAGTCATGACGTCATCAATACTAATCGTCATCAATCTCTTGGGCTTTTGAAAAAAAATTGTCGATCTTTTGAGGATTTTTTTTTTTTTGAAGAGTTCCGATGGCGGCACTAGCGCGATAAAAAATGTTTTCAACCTTTCGACATTACTGTTATATATATAGTTCTGACTTAAATATAGCTGTTAGTCCTAATGTCTTTAACAACGTCACATGGAGAGGATTTTCTTCCTGTAATCTCACCTCTATTTATACCAACTAATAGTCAGCATTGTGAGTGTATTATACGGATGTGGATATTTTTACCACCCTCTATTATTAATGAGGCAAATAATATAATAGAAATTGCTCCGATATACAGTATGTTGATTACAGTAACAAGACCATTTTTAATGAAATTAATTGCTAGAGTAAATTTCAGAGGCTGACACATCTAAACTATATATTATTAACTTTGCTGCATCAAGTAACGTTATACATATATAAATTCTAGAATATACTGCATATCCTATATGGACAGGATTTACAAAAATTAAATATTATAGTAAAATTTTCAATTACAGATACCTTTACTTTTTTTACTTAATGATTTTTTGTGAGTGCTGATATTGTTTTAGTACATATAAACAATTAGTATACCTACTTCAATGTATGCAAAAGGTGTGTTTGACAATTGCTATGGGAATTTAACATATGTATGAAAATCCTTTGCGGGACGTACAGTATTTTTGTGTAACAGCTTACATGTTTTGCTTTTTCTTTTTATAAAATGAATCTTTTTGAATAGTTGTTCCCATATAAAGTTATCTGATATAAAGCGTTTCCAGTTATATGATCGATGTTCTAACATGAATAACTGGATCCTAAAATAAGTGAAATGTATTTAAAGACTACTATTCTCGTCTTCAGGCTGCTCATTGATTAGTAAGCGTATCTCAAACAATCACTAGAAAGCCGGCATATATGATAATATTATATACAATTATAGTGTTTGAGGGCAACTCAAGAAATTCCATTTTCTGATGTTCTTACAGCGAGTTGATTTTCCGTTTCAGATGGAAAAAACTTTAAGTCTTTTTTCTATAACATTAAAAACATCATAAAAAATATTAATAACTTTTAATTATTCAACGTATCTTTTAATATTGTATTTGGAAGAGTATTTCTTGGATAATTTCTGAAGCAAATGTTTTTTTTTCTTTTATGATATAATTTACTTTTTAAACCGATATCCTTGTTTTACTTATAATCTAAACTTTATACTTATAAACAAATCAAAGTAAATAAATATTTCTAAGATATATTTTTACATGTTTTAATTAAAAGAAAAGAATTAATTGATAAACTGTCAATAATATAATAACTGTCAATAGGCGTTAAAAAACTATCTTACAAAGACATCTTTGTAATATTCTATCCAGTTTAAAGTAGCATGGGAAACATACGCCATTTCCTATATTTTTCACAACACATACGCTCAACTAGTTTTAAATCTTTGTAATCTGCAGTTGGTTAACCAAAAATTTCAAACGTTTATCAATGCCTAGCGCTTGTATTCGTACCTGGATGCATTCGTTTTGCAATCAAGACCGCTTTGTCTTGGTCTAACAATGAATTGTAAACGAATACCGCGGATAGTTTTATATGTACCGTATGTAGTCGGTTGATTTAGAGCTTTTACCGTTTTAATTTTTTTTACTTAGTAACATTCGTATCTACATCGACTGTAAGCCATAGTTTTATTTTTACTGTTATAAAAAATACAAATAAAAAATAATTCTTATTAGGACTAAAAGGGAAATAAGCAACTATGAGCCTTAAACAGTCTCCAAGAAGAAACGATATGAAAGAAAATGGTCAAATTGAGTCAAATCATATATTCACATAAAACATATTGATTAAATATTGCCCCTAAAGGTACAATACCTATAAGTTTTACTTTATAGTATTTCATGTGTGAGAATATAGCTATTCCTTTCAAAAGATTGCAATTAAAGCGGATGAACTAAACACGACATAAAGTATGGTAGAAGTATGTTTTAATGTTTTAAGCCTTTCATATTGTTCCTAAAGATAAAAATATCAAAAAACTAACAAATGAAAGAGTCAGAATTATGTTACTCGCTGACATTCCGAATTTTTACCATATGAGGACTAAATGGTAATTTATTATGTAAAATTGGGTTTATATCACAAATTTTATAAAACACGTCTTCCCCTACTAAGTTTTGTCGGTCGTGATGTTTGTTTCTAGTTTCTTAGTAAAAAAAAAATTGGTGAAAACTGGGATACTTTTAAGAACATATCTCAATTTTTTTCCTTTTAGCTCCACAACTCTGAATACAATTTAAATTTTCTTTACCGTTGAGTTGATATATTTATTTTCTAATAATTTGACTAATCAGTTTTGTTACAAAAATATGTAATAATAAATAACTTAAGAGTTCAACGATTTTAAAATTATTATAAATCTTCCTTTTCTTAATTTCTTACTTTTCCATCATACATGTGAATGTCACCGAAGAAAATTCTATTTATACATAAGATAATAAAAACTTTTGACATCTTAATATAAAGGTAAATAACTGTATTTACTAAGATATTTTCTATAAGCTAAGTATACAAATGTGCCGCAGCCGATGAGTGCATACAATAATGAACTCAGTACTTATTGTTACAAGAGCAAATTTCGCATGGATTGAAAATAGCATATATTATATGCAAAAGCATTGTATCATTTCAATGCGTTTTGTAAGTCATTCGATTGATAACTATCAAGGAGGAAAGCAATCGAACATAAATGCTCTCGAGTATATAATTGACAAGATGAAAATCTCTGACGAAGTTTCGAATAAAAGTAAGTTCAATTTAACCAGCTTCTGGTCCATTTTAGTTATTTTTTCTAGTATCCGTAAAAAATAAGAAATATACGTACGCTAATCTTCGCTAATCGCTAATCTAATACTTACCGATTTAAGAAATCATTAGTATATACATTCACATACCTATACAAATAGGATTGGAACAAAAATACTCAGATTTCAAAGTACTCGTAGAAAAGAAACGTCCCCAACTATGGACTGTATTATTATGCCTTATGTGTGTTTAAGTGATCTTGTAACCGCATCAGTCTTATTTGTGTAACTTTTATGTAGTTTACAACTTTAAATGTAAAACCTCAATATTTTAATGCTTGATTTACTAAATATTAAGGTATTATAAAAGGTATTAAAACCATTTCTTGCTTTGTACGGTCGTCGCGGCTTACAAACAGTGGTTATAATTCGTCATCACAGGTACATAAAAATAGACCTAAATTTATATTTAATCTATAATATTACTTTACTTACTAAATTGTATTACCATAATTCTCTTAAAATGCTTTAATACCAAAGGGTTAGTTATTAGAATATAAAGCATGTTTTTGTGCCGAGAATTTAGTGGACATCATCTTGATTATTCTGGATACGTAAGATCCTCGTATAGGGCTCTACAAAAAATATTTTTTTTACAATTATACAAAGATTTTTTTTTTAAATCCTATTACTGTAGAATATTTTTAGTCTAAATATCTTTCATCTCCTTTTGTACCATAGGTATATTTAATTTTTTTTTATTATCAAAATTACAATTATATAGCTTACTGTTGCCTAAAAAAAAGTTATTCAAACCACCTTCAAAAGCTTCATATTCATATGTTATATTGGACAAGTTTATTTATGAAAATAAATATATTTCAAAACCATTAATACAATGGTGGTAATTAGCTTATTATTCCAGTACGGATTACTCGCTTAAAATTAAGAGAGCTATTTTAACTTAAATGAAACAGTCATATATCATTTGTATTGGAATCTTGAGGATTTATAAGGTCATCTTATGCGTTGTAATCATTATACCTACATACAACTATTTTAATAAAACACTAGTTTCTTGCTCATTTTTTACCTTATACGTTTGAACTGATACAAAACAAATGTTTGCCTTGGAAAAATATAGATCATTTATTTCAAAGAACAATTTGTTAAATATTTCTTAACAAGCAAAAAAAATTTATTGATTACCATTTAAAGTTTGGAATAACCTTAAAACATATAAGGATAGTAAACACTATGAACAATAAACTGACCATGTTTTAGTTTCATCGGAAAATATAATATTTATATTTATACCATAGTGCACAGCATAAAAATAATTAAATCCATTTTTATAGATCCCTTACGTGATATTTCATAACAAAATAAAAAAAGAGGTACAAATACATTACTCCTTCTCTTCTACCTGGCAATTTCCCAGCTATAGCCGGGGTCTGCCTTACATGTTGGAAATAATTTTAGCTAATTATTTTTACGACCGGCCGCCTACCTGACATCAACCCTCTTTCTGAATGCATTAATCAGTAATGTCTAAATACTCTTAGAAAGTACATATGACTCTGAAAAGTCAAATTGGTACTTGCCCGGGCCAAGATCGAACCCGCGCCCTCGTGCATGGTAGGCGGGCCTTTTAACCACTTGGCCACCACTGATTTAAAATACATTACATTGTAGTAGTCATTAAAGTCAATTCACTAATTGTGTACTTTTTTCTATCCAGACTTCGGCTACGGCGTCCGCCACATCCAAATAATATGCATGTGTTTGACGATTGTAGCTCTTTTCATTGCACGTGCCAGTATGGGTGTCGCTGTTCTGGCGATGACGGATGGCAGTCGCGATGATATTGAAGTAAGTTTACAAGGGCAAGGTCTCAGGAAAGTATAACGGTTTATTTTTATGAGGAAGGTGGCAAAGGAACAGACGACCTACTTGATGAGCAGTAGTCACCGTCACCCATAGATATTCACAACCTGTCTCTCGTTGTGGATTCGTTGCTAACCTTGGTTATTGAGGAAGGCGGATCGGTGGTAATACGGAAGTTGGGAAAGGGTGGGAATAGGGAAAAAAAAGGTCAACCAGCCTTCTCGCTCATCGATCGAAACTCAATCTTTAAAAACTACTTCACGCTAATCATCTGTGATAGGGTACTTCCCCGGTCGAGACAACCCATGTTGGAGCTGTGATAACTGACACACCTAGACTCTACCATCTTCAAAACTTGTGTGAATTGAAATAAAAATTTTGTTAAAATAGTGAAGTTTCTTCAACAATGCTTTAGTCATACTACTTCTTCATTTGATCTACCAGTTCTCCAAAAGTATCTTTAAAGTCGATTTTTATAAAATAGAAAACAAATGTAAGTTGAATTTATTAACTGTATTAAACATTTCAGACTTATAAATGGGACAAAAAGACACAAGGGATCATTCTGTCTTCATTCTTTTGGGGCTACACGGTGATGCAAATTCCTGCTGGCATACTATCTAAGCGGTATGGAGGGAAGCCGATTCTTCTGATATCGCTTCTAACCAACACTGTTATATGTGGGCTACTACCCACTCTTGTAAAAATTGTAAGTACAAAATTAAGCTAAAGTATAATTTACTGTCGAAAATTCAGAATTAGTGTTTGATGGAAGGGCTAAATTTATGAGAATATTTATATGTTTAACTATAAATAATAATCAGGAATATAATGAATTTCCATCAGATTATTTCTAAGTGAAGTGCAGCACTTGTTCATCATCATCATTGTGTTATCTCATTTTTTAAATATCTTTGTGACTATGTATCTATGTCGAACAAATTTATATAATAAACGTTCTCTTTTAGGGCGGTTGGCCAATAGTTTGCGCATGCCGAGTCATTATGGGGTTAACTCAGGCTTGCCTTTTCCCGGCCACTCATACTTTATTAGGTCGGTGGTTACCAAAGCAAGAGAGGACTTCCTATAGTGGAATTGTATACGGAGGTAATACAGCTAAAAGTCAAGTACCTAGTATCATATATGTAGATACCAATATGATATCGAAATCAATTTCATATAAAAAATTACAAAGTTAAAGCAATATACTAATATTATCGGCATTGGTAAGCTATGTATATATGTAAAGCATGTAATATACATACAATTTATTTAAATAATTATTACAATGCTCACGATATGAGAATTATTATTCTAGACGAAAGTAAGCAAATACTGTTACGTATAATAAATAAATCATCGGCGAAGGTAAATGAAGGTATTAATTAAAGGTACATAATGAAATGTTAATATATCAGAGCGTATATTGTTTTGTGTCTCAACGTATTGTGTTATTAATTGATTAAATCCGACCAAATTTATATATTACTAACCACAATGGAGTTTAATTAAATCTTTAAAAATGTTAAATTATAAAATTTTCCATCATTCCTCAAAAAAATTAAAAACAACAACTTCATTTCTTTTACATAAGCTATATTTAAATAAATATTACGACATTGGGGGAATGTTTTAAAGTTACAGTGTAATAGTTATAACTTTTTACAATAACAGGAACTCAAATCGGAATAATAATTGCGATGCCAATATCTGGGTTATTAGCGGATACTAAATACGGATGGAAATCTATATTTTACACAGTGTCAGCTATAATGCTTGTCACTGCTGCTGTATGGTCATTCTTCGCAGCCAATATGCCGAGAGAACATAGAATGATGACGGAAGAGGAAAAGCATTACATTGAAAGAGGTTTAAATATGGTTGAAGCTAAGGTATAACCTTTTTATAAAGTTTTATACATATGCATATAAAACGTCTTAGAATTAAAGAACAACATAAAATTATACTACCTTATAGTGTTTTATATTTTAAATAATTTGGTCATCAAAATATATTACTAAAAGTTATAATAAGTAAATTTGCTAAAATATATTTTTCAGGCACTTCGTACTCCCTGGCGTCATATATTCCGAACGAGAGCGTTATGGGCGATCATGATAACTCACATCGGGAGTGCAGTCAGCTTTGTCCTATTCTTTGTAGATTTACCCACTTACATGGAACGAGGCCTGAAAATAAGCTTGAAAAATGTAAACCACTCAGTAATTTATACAATAAGTTAATTACTAATTCATGTTTTTTCTTTTTGCTCGCTTGATTTGTATTTTTTGTTATTTAATTTTCTTTCAAATTTACAAAACCTAAAAATTATATGAAAAGGTAATACATTGATTTTGTAAATCAATAATAATATGAGATATTTTTCCTGTAGAGTGCTGTCCTATCAGCGTTACCGTACTTAGGAATGTGGCTCGGTAACATTTCGTCGACGTTTATTTGTGAGAGAATTTACAATCGGAAGTACTGGTCCTTGTTAACTTGCAGAAAGGTCTTTAATTCAATTTGTAAGGAAATTTATTTTATAAAAATCTAAAAAGTATGTAATGAGTTTTTATTGTAAATTTGTATTCTATATTTCCAGCTTTCTTTGGACTATCTATTGGCTTAATCGTCTTAGCTTTCTTAGGTCCTGAAAACAAATCCCTAGCCATCATTACTTTAGTCATGTCATTATTCTTAAGTGGGTTTTCTGCTGCTGGTTTTTTGGTAAGTGTCAATTTGGACTATATTTTTATAACATCGTATGGAAAAATAACCCATTGTAAACAGCGGCGTTGTAAAACTCATGAAAAATAAAATTATCATTCACATTCATTCTTTACAGATGTCTTTTTTGGATCTATCTCCGAACTATGCAGGTGTGACGCTTTCTCTTTCAAATGCAGCTGCGAACTTTGGTAGTATTTTAACACCGATTGGAACAAGCTTCATACTAAGAAATGACCCCGTGAGTAAAACTGCGAGTAACTGTAATAAGTTACACTTGTAAGTGAATACAGATGAAAAAGTAACAAATTCTTTAGTCAAAAATACAATCAGACATAAAATAAATTAGTTGAGTTATAAGCCCCTTCTAATCTGACCGTGAAATATGACATGTGACTACTCGTATTTCTATCTACACATACTTGCATATACCTATTAGTTTATCTTCTATTCCTATCATAATTGTCATTAAGCCTCTTTTTACGTATTCACCAACTTATTTACTAATTTAGTGCATAAAGAAGTTATACCTTAACGGAGCGTGTTTATTGCTTTGCTACTTTAAAAAAATTCGTTTTTGTCTTCTGTGACGTAAATCAAAGTTTCCTATCCATATCATGTACAGGCATTCAATGTACAAGTTTAATTTTGTTATTTTATTTCCTAAATACATCATCTAAATCAATATTATTTCTCCAGACTGACACCAGTAGATGGCTAATAGTATTCCTGAGCACGGCACTCTTGGGTGTTGTCGCTAACTGTGTATTCTTGATGTTTGCTAGCGCCACGCAGGTGGAATGGGATGATCCGAACTTTATTGAGAAGATAAAGGCTGATAAGGGTGATTTGTAACAATATTAAAGTATTGAAGCTCTCTCTTTTTATTCCCTTAGATCCAAAAACTTTACTAACAATCTGTAACGTCTTGTAAAAAAATATATATAATTTTGCAAAAACGTACTTGTTTGAAAGATTATTATGATTTTTAAGCTTGTTACCATTTAAAATTGGGCCAATTTAGATTGTACCATTAGCATAACTTATTACTAAAGTCCGTTAAAAATATTGCGCCCATACTTTAGATTATAGAATATATTTCGAACTCAATTTAAAATGGTATATCTGAGAGTTTTTAACATTTATTTTTTATTAATTATCAGGTAATGGTTAAAGTAAAATCATAAAATATTTGATTTTATTTTACAGAGGAATTAAGACCAGCTTTGAAGACTGTGAAGGAAAATACAGAACGATAAGAAAAACGTCAATGTGTTTGTTATACACTCTTTGTTACTGTAAAAATTGTGATACAATGATCTTATTAATAAAAACGTTTTTATATCATAACTCACACGATTCTTATTTTGTATACATGTTTATGTAAATAGGCATTCATATGCATAATAACCCTTTTTAGTAGGTATGCTAAAACCAACAAAGGCATTTCCTTACATTGCTTACATTACCAAAGTAGTTAGTATTTTTATGACAACTACATATATTTGAAATAAAACTTATAATAGTCATTAGAAGTAACACTATCAAACATTTTTAAGTATTTTATTTATTTATTTATTTAAAAAACTTTATTGTCTAACTACACACGTAGATACAATAGGTGGACTTAATGCCTGAAGGCATTCTCTGCCAGTCAAACCTTAGGAAAAGCAGAAAAACATGAAGACGGTTGCAGTATGTAAAAGAAAAATATACATATAAATTTCTATTGATATATAAATAATATTTACACATATATATAGATACATATACATACACATACAAATACATATACATACACATACATATACATATACATACACATACATACATATACACATACATACCAATAGATATATACTATATACCAAAACAATAATAAAAACAGAGACTTAATACAGATTCTGAGCAAAATGTTCCTGTACACGACGCCCGAAAATTGCCCTTGTAGGTGCCTTTCTTATTTCTAATGGAAGTTTATTCCACAGTCTGATAGATTTTACATAGAAGGAGTTAGAGAGGAAACTAGAGTGGTGGCTGGGAAAAGAGAGGAGGAGAGAGTCATTAGAGCGTAGCTGTCGAACATGATTGTCACAGAGAAATTTAAAATTTTCTTTTAAGTAAGGAGGAGATTGGGGATCAAAAAGAATGGAGAAAAGAAGACACAATATACGTAATTCTCTGCGTTGGCGGATGGGAAGCCATTTGAGCTCTGCTCGACAGTGAGAGATGTGGTCAAATTTACGAAGACAAAAGATAAAACGTAAGGAGTTATTTAGGAGACGGTCAAGTTTGTTCAAAAGGGTTTCATTGAGATCAGGATAACACACATCAGCGTAATCTATAATGGGAGATATAAGGGCTTGTACAAGTAAGATTTTAGTTTTAATAGGTAAAAAATTTCTTAAACGATTAAGGCATCTTAACGTGGCAGTGACAAACGACTAACTTCAGAAATATGCACATTCCAACTTAATGTAGAATCAATATGAAGTCCAAGATCTTTAACGTGGTGGAAGTATGGAATAGTCGTATTGTTAAAAACGATAGGTGACAAAGAGGAAATATTTAACTTAGACATGAGACGTGAGCTACCAACAATGATCGCCTGACACTTAGCAGGGTTAACTACAATGCCAAATTTATTAGACCAGTTGCAAACGTAAGAAAGATTTTGATTTATTTTGTTTATAGCTGTTTCGATATTGTCTATCTCGGAATTAGAGTATAATTGCAAATCGTCGGCGTGAAAATGATAAGAACAGTCGAGATGAAATGAAAGGAAATTTATAAAAAGAGAAAAAATAATAGGAGATAAAGTGCCACCTTGCGGAACGCCAGCAGAAAGATCAAGCCACTCGGAGAGGGACTGATTCAGCCTAACCGCTTGCCGGCGGCCGCGAAGATAAGAGGAGAACCATTCCAGAGCTGATGAAGAAAATTTCAAATGCTTGAATATGGCCAGGACGATATCATGATCAACCATGTTAAAAGCATTGGAAAAATCAATTAAGACCAAAATGGTGATCATTCTATTCTCCATGCCAACCCGAATATCCTCAGATACTTTGAGAAGAGCGGTAGCATGAAGTATGATCTGTTATCAGAAGGTTTCATGTGTTAAAACAACAACAATAAATTTGTAATTTCATATTAAAACATTTATTAATGAATTTATTTGATTGCAAAAGATACTTTAAAAGTATGTTTGACTTTTGGTGATGATATTTTCTGAAATGAATGTTAAATTCTTGTTTAAATTTTATTCAAAACGAAGAATATTATGTATATTTCATTCCAATAACTGTATTCTTTTATTGATATGAAATAAACTGAAAGGTTTCGCTTTGAAACTGTCAAAAAATAGACGAGATTCAGCGTCACTAGCGGTTTTTCGTTTAAACGAAACAAACAATACCGATCCGTGAATGTTCAATAGAGTTAGTGTACTCTGTAAAAGTGCCGGAGTAAGGTCAATTAAAACCAGCTTTCTAAACACTCTCTGTTTTTTGATACTATATGATAATTGGGGTTTTATTACAAATGCCTTTATTAACGAATGCAAACGGTAAACGAAATTAACGCTTTTGTATCAGATTCACACTAGATAGCGTTGAGAACGTCATTATGAAATAAATTAATTAAAAGAATAAAAGAAACATTAAGTATTTTGTTTCGGCTTCGAATTTTTTTAAAGCAGATTGTAAGTACGACGTGACGTGGCTATGAAATATAAATCATGAGTAGCACAGTCGTAAAGCATAGAAATATAACATCTAGTCTTAACAAAGATTTTACGTTTTACTAATTTCATTTGTTCTGTTGACATCAAATTGTCTGAAATAGATAAAAACATTGGCAGAACACAATTCCCAGTGACATAAGATTCAAATTCGCCTGAATATTATCGTTAAATTGCTCACATATTATTTTATTTACTTAGTTATGTTTACAAGAATGAATTTTAATGCAAATATCGTAAACGTGAGAAGATAACGAGATTCATCTATGTTTTGTCTGAGTATACCTTTTATAAATAAACATAATTATAACAATAGTTCTAAATGTTACCGCACGTTTGGACATGTTTCCAAGTTCATCATGGACGTTGAATTTTTAAGACATAAATATGAAGACAGACATGACGGTGTCATTACAAAATCGAGTGAGTTTAATGTATTATTATTAATTCGTTAATTTTATTACTTAATTAGATGAAGTGGTATAGTATGAAGTAGGAAATAAATATATTTGTAATGATAATATTCAACTATAGATAGAAAAACTCTCGAAAGGCCTTCTTGTTTTTATAAATAGATATCCTACTAACAAAATATGTATGTATGTATTTGTTAACTCAGAGGTAATGATATAAAAATATATATTTCTAATCATGATTGAAATACAATAATATAATTATCGATCTTCTTTAGAGTTTAAACTCGGGGTTCGTCACATTCAAATGGTCTACATGTTCGCCTGTTCGTTTGCGATGGGGGCGTTAAGGAGTAGCAACGGCATCGCGATCCTCTCTGTAGCCCAACAAAGTCGAAACAATGGTTCATACTTACAGGTAAGGATGTTTTTGGTTGACTCGCAGAGGCCGCTTTCTGACGATAGAAGCGGCTTTTGTATACTGTTTTTATTGCGTCTTTGTCTTATCTTGTACAATAAAGACTAAAATATTTTTTTACTTTCATTACATCTTTCTGTAGATTAAAACCATTGAGTTCTGCCAATTTACAGATATTTTTATTTGATTATAATGTAAAGTATGAATGTTAAAACAGACTAAAGTATCATTAATAGATTTTATTTGATACATACATTTAATTGACTCTAAACAATATTTTCTTTTGTATCAGTCCATATTTACATCGAACCTGCAGTATTAGATTAAAAATATAAAATTATAAAAGAGAAGGAATATTTTAAAAAGATTTCATATTTTGAAAGGTTCTGTGGATTTTTTTAATATAACTGAGACTTTAATAAACTGAAAAAGTATTTATAATAAAAGGAAATTTTTTGAGGAAACAAAAAACTAATAACAAACAACAATGATATTAAACGAACTCAAGACATAAAAATCTGAGTATATTAATTTTGTTACATTACGTCATACCTACATACATAATTGATATATATTTTTTTTCTTATATTAAAATCAGGTTCACAATTGGGATAAAAGAATTCAAGGCACTGTTCTCTCATCGTTCTTGGTCGGATACGCCTCAGCGATGCTTCCAGCTGAGTTATATCTGAAGGAAGTCGATGATAAATTTATAATGGCAGCTGTGCTTCTCATTAACGGAGGACTGACTGCAGCTATGCCAACTATTGTTAAAAAGGTATTTTTTATATCAAAGTTTTTCTTTTAACATCATTGTTGTATTATCAACAATGCTTTATTTAAGTTACAGCAAATTCATCTTGAATATTTTTATCATTTTAATTTAAGTCGACGTTTCATAGTCTTTGAAGTTAAAATATTTTTTACAAAAAAAAAAGAAAGAAAAATACATGATTGTCATGTTATATTAACATAATTATTTTTAATAATGTAAGCTAATTGACGCCCGAGAGTTAGCTGAAACTTATAATTGAATGCAAATTCTTTACACAGCTTTTAAATTAGACAATGTTCTTAATTAAAAGCAACTGTTGACCAAAGCTAAACTAAGTGTATTAGAAAATCCGTATACGTAATTTTGCATGCTTTGTTATTAACTTGTATAAAAAAATTCGTTTTCTAATTATTATTATAAGGTAACTTCAGCAGGTTATATGTATTATATAATATTGAAGATATCCTTTGTTAAAATTTTAATTTCAATTTGATAAAAATTGTACGCATGCATTTAAGAATATGTTGGCAATATTTCTCTTTCAGTCTTTTTTTTGAAAAAATATCTCAAAAAATTTATGTTATAACTTTGCTAGGGTGGATGGATCGCCGTCTGCAACGGGGAATTCTTGATGGGTATAACTCAAGCCTGTCTGAGTCCAGTAAATCTTAACCTTCTTTCCAAATGGCTTCCACCCAGCGAGAGGACACTGTGTGGATATTTAATTCAAGGAGGTAAAATTGAGGAAACAATATGTTTAGTTCAAAAAATATTTTTCTCTGTAAACTTATTTAAAAATTTCTTTTTTCAGCAATACTTCTAGGCACCATTATTGCATTGCCTGTATCAGGTATGATTTCGGAATCACGCTTGGGTTGGGAACTCATATTTTATTCCCAGGCCATGATGACATTGTCAACAGCCACATTATGGGTGTTACTGACTTCTAGTACCCCGGAAACTCACCACGCTATAGGTGATACGGAAAAAGAGTATATAAGACGCTCCTTGTCATGTTACCGTCAGGTTAGCAATTTAAATATAAAAACAAAACAACCATGCTTTGATTTCTTGAGATAATATTTTAAAAATATTTTTTCCCTATAATTTTAGAATAAACTCCATAAACCTTGGCGAAATATTCTTCAAACGAAACAATTTTGGGCTATTGCCTCGGCTCACATCGCGGCAAACGTGCTCTATGTTTTCTTTTTATTTGAACTATCCTCGTTTCTCGTTTCAATGGATTTATCTATTAAAACCGTAAGTTACAACGAAACTACACATTGATATTATAATTAATGACCTTTACATATGCCAAGGTTAATAAATAACCATTATATTAATCACCATTCATACTTATATTTACTTGTGTTACATACCAAGCAACTTATTTACATATGTGTATGTATTTTGTTTCAGTCGAGTACACAAATAGCTTTACCTTTTGTGGGGATGTGGGTGGTTTATCTTCTGACTTCGCCTACAATAGAATTAATTTATGGTATCGGAAATGTTAATTACTTGTTCGACGTCAAGTATTTTAGGAAAATAGTTAATGGATTCGGTGAGACAAATTTATTGAAATATTATTATTAAAACATAATTTAAAATATCACGTTATTTCTTAAACGCATTAAGATAGAAACAGCTTTATAATGTTACAATAAAATCACTGATATGTTACAGATATGATTGGTAAAACAACCATTCCTACATCTCCATTAATGCCCAACACGTAGTACCATTATTTTATATCCTGTAGATTTCGCTTTATATCCCTTTGTTCGTAGATCGCGTAATATATTATTATTACCTAAAAGCTGATCATAAGCACAAAGAAAATTTCCGAGAGGACGTGGTTTCTGTTATAGAAACACGAGGTAATGTCATTTAAGACTCAGTGAAGCGAGACGAACAAAGAATTTAATATAGGAAACTAAATATAATATGAAATTGAATTGCGCATTAATATCGGAACGTATAATTTTCCTATCACAATTTCCAAAGATCATCTCTCACAAAGTAATTTTCGTATAATTATTTAGAACATAAGCAGTTTTACTGTAATTAATAACCCTTTATATTAAATTAACGCGCGTTGTTTTGTCATATTTATAATAAGGATTCTTATAATGATAAATGATACAAAAATATGAAGAAGCCATGGCTGTGTTAAAAATTATGTATGATTTTAAAAACATCCTTTGTCATTAAGATTTGAAAGTAATATATGAGAAAATTTAAGTAGATACATATATATATAGATTAATAAAATTTAAAGACGTGACGGGTTCGGGAATCCAAAACTGTCCAACGCATTAAATTCTATTTATCTCAACAATTTCTATCACTTCTAAGCAAATTAAACACGCTTCAGTTACAAATTCGTGATCAAAGTTTAAGATCTCTTTGCATCGGGCAATGGAATTCTAAAACCGGCTAATATGTCAACTGATGAGCTTCTAAAATATTTACAAATAAGTGTTTCTGACTTTGGAATTATCAAAATAATTCTCTGTTATTTTGAAATCATTATAGATTTTTGATAATAATTATACCTATGGTTACGTTTTCCTGTAATACTAATTTATCAAATGATGAGATCTAAGATTTTCGTAATGAGATTTATCAATTAAATTTCATATAAAAAAATAATACAAGCCACTTTTTCAGGATCCCTTGGGATAGTAATCGGATTACTAACTATATCCTATTTGGTTCCGTCGTGGAATCATTTAGGGCTCATAACATTGGTCGGAACTTTCGCATTACTTGGAATTCAATATTCCGGTTTTCTTGTAAGTGTTTATATTTTTAGTTGTATCTTTGATGTTTATAAATCTACGGTATATCAGAGTTAACGTTAGTATAATATATATATTTTTGATATTAGGAAAATCACAAAGATATGACACAGAATTACTCAAACACTTTACTTATGATGAGCAACATAGTCTCCAGTGCTGTGGCAGCTCTCGTTCCTGTGCTAACTGCAGCTATCGTCAATGGAGATGACGTAAGTGATTTAATATGTAAAGGAAAAAAACATGACAAAAATATATGTAATGGCCTCTACAGCTAGATTTAAGAAGATTAACAATCCTAGATTAGTTTGATATTGGTTATTTATTTAAACTCCTTAATATTCAATTAAAATGATTTTGATTTATGAAAAACAATATACTATATCGAACATTTTAATTTTATTTTTTAAATAATATATTTATGGGTCATTTCTTGTACGGGTATTATTCTCTTTAACTATCCTATTTTATTATTTTTGTTCACTCTTCCTTTTTGGAAAAAGAATAGTGGTTAGTGAAAAAATTAATTTTAATCATAGTAACAAACACTTACATTTCTGAGCTTGATTTTTTGTTTGTCCACTTCTACATATAAGTGTCAATTCAATCAATGGCAAATTTATTTATATTTAGAAGAGTTTGTAAAATAAAGAAATGGTACGAGAAAAGAAATCTATATATCTGAATTTGTAAGTTATTTCTACTTATTATATTACAGCAAACTTTTTCTCCTAAAACACAAAAGTCATTAGGGACGCTAATATTAATTAAAACTTTGGTGAACAACTTTACATTCAAACAAGAATTCATCCATTTTGTTTGCTGGTTCCTTAATCAATTACGTAATAATGTTAAGATGTTTCATCATTTTAATTAATTGAAGCAATTTCATTAAAAGGTTTTGGTAAGTTGTTTAATGTCATTATGATATATAGCTTAGAAATTTGTTGCCCTCAGTAATACACAGTGGGTACAAACTGGATGTTGTTAACCCATACAAAGGAAGCTTCTGTTTCAAAACTTTGTGTTTTATTATCAAAAGATATGGCGACGTAAAATCTTATCCTAATTTCATCATCTCCGTGATTTTTTTTAAACTTTAAAACTAAATATTAAAAAAGTTAAAAGACTGAATGAATTACCTTTTCAGTATGTCTCTAACTAGCTTTCCGCTAACGGCCGCGCTGATGTTTGTTTTATTTAAATATTTGTTAATAAACTATGCATAATATATCAGCGGGAACAAAGAGACAGACAGATTTTTTATGTAGTGTGTAAACTTTCACGTATTGCTATATTATTAAAATGGAATATTTTGATATAACTCCAATTATATTTATATGTATAGAGGCTTTAGAAAGCTTTAATATGTATAACTTCTTGTAAAGTTTAGATTCATGTCTTAAATGTTTACTTTCAAATTATCTAAAATATTAACTTCCATACAATTTTCATATTAAATTTATTACTACACAATATACATTACTAAGAATATACATACAAAATCTTACGTCACATGCTTAAAACAAAAAAAATCAACTTCAATTTTAAAATTTCTATTTAATTACCTACTATTAGAATTTGGCCATTGTTTCCAAGTTCAAACATAAATATGTATAATTTTATCGTTGTATGTTTATTATATATTTTTTTAATTTACAGGGTGATTTAAATCGCTGGAAAATTGTATTCCGTTTGCTCGCTGGATTCTATGTGATTTGTAATGTCGTCTACACTTTGTGCGCAAACAGCGACAGGCAGGAATGGGACAGAAGCGCCAAAACAAAGTTCGGATATTGCAATGGTAATGATTGTATTAAAATAATTATATTATTTCATAAAACATTATTACAAAGGAATTTAATAATTTTTTTAACGTATCGTTGTATTATAATAAAATTTTCTCGCATTGATTTACATCTAAAATTTAACGACTTATTTAAATGAATCTAATATCATACCTTCACACCCAGTCTGTCCGTGATCACGGTTGCTGAAAAGTAGCCGAAACGTCGGGAGTATGTAGTTGTTACCATAATAAACGAATAGCATAATCCGAAAAATATTAGTTTCATTTAAATGAATACTCGCAAACGGCCTAGATCTCATTCAACGACTTATGATTTCAGCCTTAACTAACTTGGAATTAGACGAGATCAATCAAACTACAAGACTGGACTGTCAGAGAGAAGATGATACATCAGTGTAATTTTTTATATTTAAATCATCAGAATTATGCACCGAATAAAAATTAAGATAATAATATTTCATTCGTCTATAAATTTTAAGACCCCAAACCTTAGTTGTTTTCCTTATATTGAATGGTATTTATCCAGTTATTTTACAGTGTATTTTTATGTAGACTTTAATTAGAGCCTGAAAGCTTTGTGAAATAAAACTTCGCCAACGGTTTAAAAAACCTTTTTGTGTTTAACGCTTACTTAACCTTTATAGCTTTAACACAAGATTGCTTACTAAAATGAAATATATTTTTTTAGATTAATAAAAGATCTGAAAGTAAGATCACCTGGTATATAACTATTAAGTGTGAAAATGCTATTTTTAACAAATTTATTTCTAATTGCCTATTTTGGGTTTATTTACAATTCTTTGGAAAAAAATCATAATATTAAATAGGATTTGTTTAAAAAATGTAAACCCTACATCTTCAAAGTTTTTTTCATCTTCATACTACATCTACTTTACTTTAGAAATCTGAGTTTGCCTTCATTTGGAGAGGACGGGTAGAGAGAGTAACCACGGTGGATCTTTTGATTAAAAATTCATAATTGAAAGGAATATTAACTTGCTATAAAATTTCCTCGTTAACTTTTTTAATATAAAACGAAGCCATCTAAATTAACATTATTTTTACTTGGATTTTTTTTTACAATCTGTGGGTTTTCTGACAACTTGGCCATTACAAAAAATACGCTTGAATATTCAATATTAACTGTCGTCTTAGTGTTGCAATATCAATTTCATTGCCAAACGTTTATTGAGATTGTTCCCGTTATTTGTCTGAAATTTATCTGGATGACGGAAGATTGCGCCATTCGATAAAATACGAAATATCTCAAAGCAGACAAAGGGAGGATGGTAATAAAAAGGGTGTAATAAAAACATTTACGTTAGTAGGGTCGTTTTGAGGATTTTTTCAAACGAACTGTGTTATATAAATTGTCAGGTTTTCTCTTCATTCCCTTTTCTTTAAGCCGTGTGACACATATATATTATGAACGTATAGAACGAATTTATAATCTAATGTCTAATCTAAAGCCTCATCCATTTCAAATGTTCTATAATGATACATTTTAGGTACGATAAAGAATTCCACTGTATCAAACTTAGTTTGTTGAAGTGGTTAAAAAAATTACATATTCCAGGCAATACACCATTCAAAGGGTAATTACCTAGTTTTACATTTTAAATGCTCAACAAAATGACTCAATCTCAATAAATGTTCGCGAAATTGCGTAACACGTTTAAGATTATTGACAAATATGTATATGTATATTCAAATAGATATACATAGAATCAGCACAGGAAACCACCATATTTTTTTTAAATTTTATTGAAACCTTACTTCAAACATTTAAAAGGTTTCGGACCTAAACCTTTATCGCAAATTGATGGGTTGGTTTTTAAATTTATTGTAATTATCAAAATAAATTATAGCTATAAGGTTTAAGGTATTTATTTTGTAAATCTTTATTAAATGATGAGCGACGCCTTACAGAATCCTCACTTTCCATTAATATAGTTTTCTTAACCGAAAACAAAAGTAATTTTAAATTTACATAAATTTTCAACATTGACAGTAAAGAATTTTATAATTATAATTTATTTTTACTATTCATATAATTATCGTTACTCAATTTATATTATTACATCAATAAATAAAAAAAGGTTTAAGGTTTTAATTACCAAGTTGTATCTGCTGGGCTGTTCATATAAAAAGAAACCAAGGATATATATTATATTTTTAGTTTATGGTATTTATTATTTAGATAAAAAATTATTATATTGTTAAAATAATCGTCTTTATTATTTAATTACAAAAGTAGCATTATTTGTGGAAAAGTTATTTATTAAATACTCAATATTACTAATAACAGTTTCTTAGTAGCAGCATCACCTATTTTTATTGTTTCTGTTTAAATTTAAGGACTGCATAATTCAGCGATTCACAATTCAGAAGAAATTTTTCATGATACTTGCATACCGCTCAGTGCGCTACTAACCAGCAACAACTCTGCAACGGCACACAACTCGCAGTTAAAAAATCAATGAACATCATAGTGGAACCAAAGATATTATAGGGGTCTTTCCGAGGTGAAGATGTCCTCATTCAGTACCTATTTCAGTTTAAAAGAATGCAATTCCCAATTCGATAGGCGTTCACAGTCACAATAAACAAAGCACAAGGTCAATCTTTAGAGACGTGTGATCTAGATTTGAATGGGGATTGCTTTTCACATTGACAATTGTTATATTATGTTGCATATTACCGTTACAGGAAACCAGAAAGCCCCTATATGTACACAAAGAACCGTAAAACAAAAAATATTGTATACCTATATACTTGCGATATTGAAAAATTAAACTTCAATAAATACTTTCTTTAATTCATTTAAATAAAACTTATATTTTTCGGATATACTAAGCGACTTTATTTTTAATAAAAAATACATAATCTCGTCGTGACTACTTTTCTGCAACCATGATCACGGGCAGATGAGAGTCGCGTAGTACGTACTAAAAATATTAGTCTCATTTAAATTAATAAATAAACATAAATTGCTGAATATTTAAATTTTTATTTTATAGATACAAAAAAACATTTTATTATTATTGTAACTTTGAACACAGACTACCTTAAATCAAAATGAGTCACTCTTTTAATTGTTTGTCTCATCTTTATATTAGGAGTAAGTAACTTAATATGTATAAGCAATTTATAGCTTCGCTTCTTTTTCCACTTTTTTCTCTTCTAGTTTGATGTCTTCTGGATCTAAAAATTAATAAACAATATTTTATACATCAAAATTGATTATTTCTTGTCATTTGGGAATATTATTTATTTTTATGTATTATCAGTATGTTATATGTATACAGGGTGTTTGAAATATTTTTCTGTTTTAGTAATACTATTTCTATGTTTTACAAAGTATACCATAGAACTTATATTACTAATAAAAGCAACCCTTATTATACGATTTTTTTTGTTAAATGTTCCTAAACTATGAAAAATGACTTAGGCGAGCAAAACGTTATCAGATAAAAAGTATTATTGTAACGTCAACATATTATAAAGCGAAAGTTATTCATGTAATGACATCATATTTTATAAGATTATTTTAATATTTACAAAGACATTTAACGTAATCTTTGTATAATGAGTCCTTATCTTGACTACTTCTATTACTGACTGAGAAGTTTAACAAACCTTGATATCAAAATGAATTATTCAGTTGAATTCAGTTTTTATAATTCGATATATAGAATTATTATAAATCAATAATTTATTATTTAAAACTATAATCTTAGAAGAATTTATTGCTAAATTTTGTTGAAAATATCGTATAGTTATTATAATGAATAAGACAATTCAATTCTAAACGAACAGCTATTAGTTATACGAGTGATCTCTACTCTACTTACCGTTAGCATTTTCTACTATAGGCTCGTTCCATGGCTGTACCTCCGTTGTCATGAAAGTTACAAAGATAGTGTTCGTTACAATACCAATGGCTGTCATCAGAAACATTACGATTCTCCATTGATGCTGATCCGTCTGAAAAATCAATTTATATTCCATCTTATAAAGAACTGTTTGTATCGATAAAATAATTTTGATTTTTTTAATATGGAAAAGGATTTTTTAGATTTCACAATTGTATCAAATTCCTATTTCATGAAATTACTTGACAAAATGATGAAATCTTTCTCATTTTAAAACACTGTTATAGAAAATAAGAAAGCAACGTATCAAATATAAAATGAAAAATAAAATCCTCTGTTAGTAGCATGCTTCCTCGTATGTGAAGTTAAAAGTCTCCATTTACATTGAATAGTCTCATAGTTGTTCCAAAGGAATTTTTCATTTAAAGTTTTTAAATAACGATGAAACTACTTTTAAAATAGCAAAATAGTTTTAAGATACAACTGTAAAATTTTTATTCTATATCTATTAAACCAATTAAAATATAACGATAATAATGTTTCTGAAATTAGTACCTGAACTAAATTATAATTGTAGTTTAAATTACTTACAACGTCAGTGACTATATTAGAGACTACTAGTGGCATAAACACGATCAGAATATTGGTGATGGTATTCCCTGTTGCCATGAGAGTACCTGCCAGGTTTGGCGCTAGGTCTATGTAATTCACCTGTAATAATAAAAAATAATACCATGTATTTATAGGTATGTAAATAGATAAATAAACAAAGATTACAAAGCAAGCTTTACGCATAAATATAATATTTAAGTGCTAATAATATTCAATAAAAAGAAAAGCAAAGCAAATTTTCTACATTTTAATCTTGTAGTGTAATTATTTTAAAGAGATGACGAATAAGTGTATATTTAAAATATATAAAGATTGGATGTTACTAATATTAATAATTAATTTATGTGGACATACGTAGAGATTAAAATAAAAGTTATGAATATTAAATTATACATATGTAGAAGGATATTTGATCCTATAATATGAGGGACATCAGATTGATCAACAAATTAACCTAGCGCATGAATATTATAAGTTAAACTCTTACTTACTAAGTATGACAAAAGTGACATCCCTTATCAATATTATTCTGAATACTAAAAACTTTATAAATATATTATAATAATGATTACCATCCACCCGCTGTGCATCGCAGCATGTGCCGTGCTTGACGTTACAAAACAAATTACCGCTAGCACTGTGTTGGTCGTGTAAGGAACGAACAGGCAACACAAGGCTGGTATATAAGCTCCTATATATTTAAAACATATACATTACAAATTACAATACATAAAATCTAATATAATACTCAATGAGGTCTCAGAATATTCAATCTGGTGACATTTCCTTGAACATTCATAATATAATGAAAGTTTGATAAATTAATTATTTCTAAGCAGTTTTTTATTATATTAAAGAATAAATGAAACTTCAAAAGTCCTATATTTGCTTACCGATTGAGCTTGATATAATTCTTGCTTTTTTTATTGAAACCCCTTTTTTGTTTATTAGAAAATCAGATAAAAATCCGAAAGCGATACAAGCGAATATCGCTGCTATGTATGGCAATGATGATAATATTCCATTCTGAAAAAAATATAAATAATTATATTACAGTTTGATGACTCATTAATAATCTGAAGTTCATTGTGATATCGAGTCAATAAAAACAAGTAGGTATAATAACAATTGCATCTATGGTTTAAAAATTAAAATTGTTACAAATACATATCGCAATAACTTTTAAAATATGATAATATTCTTATGTTAAAATATATATTTTTTAATTATTTAAAATTACATCATATACTAAACGAGGAGAGCTCAGAGTCCATTATTACAAACAATTGAAAAAACAACACTAAATCAAAAATTAAATCAAGTGACTCAAAGACATTTTATAAAATAGGTTAGTGCTTGAAAAATTCTTAAATACATTTACAATTATCTAACACTAGCAAAAATTTGAAAATGGTAATCAAGATATTTGCTACTCACACTTCGAATGTCCAACTTCAAGATAGCGTTCATATAAGTAGGGATTTGTATGAAGAAGAACACAAAAAATATAGCACTACCGACGTGAGCCACGAAAGTTGCCCAAACGTGGATCGAAGTAATGATAGCTTTCCAAGGTATTTTGACATTCTGGAACATATGATCACACAAAAAATATTTAACGCTCCATAATATAATAATATGAAAAATTTTATTAAATTTTACCTGTTGAACGCGATGGCTAACTTTTCCAATAATAAATAGTTTTTCTGCTTCCGATATACTTTTATGGTCATCTGGTCTCGCGGAACCAAAAACAGTAATCAGTACAAACGCAACAAAACATGTTATACCCGTAAACCAAAAAGTGGAGGGCCATCCAAATCTACTGAATGCCAAGACACCAGCTACTTGGAAAGCTAATACGGTACCTACTCCTGAACCTGAAATAGAAAGGGTGACAATTAAATAGTTAAAACGGTGAAAGTCAGCTACTTTTATATGTACATTTTAAAATAAAATGTATTATCTAGAAGCCATAGATTATCCCATCTCGGTAAAATCTCATCTTACCCGTATATACGTAACTACTCAGACTGCCTCTCTCGCTAATTGGTACCCAGTTTGATAGTAAACTTTGTATCGCTGGATACAAGCCGGCTTGAGATAATCCTTGTAATATGCGACACACGCAAAGTGCTTTCCAACTTCCCTGGTAAAATATTTTGGTAAAAAAAAATATCTCAAGAGTGTATAAACTATTTTCAAATAATCATATGTTTTTTTATATTACCCAGGCTATTATCCACGGCGTGAAAAAGGAAATGAAGGCATTTACAGACATTGCGATTTGTAACGGTATTTTACCTCCCCATCGATGACAAACCATACCCATCGGGAACATCATGACGCAATAACCAAGAAAAAATGATCCATGAACCATTTCCTGTATTTTCTTTGACCACTTATATTTCTGAAAACAAAAACCAACATACATACAAATAATGAAGATATTATTTAAGTAAGAAAAATGTTTAAAATAACATTGAATTTGTGTTTTGTTGAAATCCATAGTGAGACTAATTAATTTTTGTTTAATACATTTCATCTGCAATTACTATAGTATTAAATTCAGCAGAAGCAAGATTGTTTCAGTTTCAAAAATAATTATGTCAATAATAAAGTAAATAAAAAATAGTATATAAATATTAAGAGCAATTTTCCACAACAAAACAAAAATCACAAATATACCACATATCTTATAGTAGATGTGAAAATGAATATTCCATACCTTATAAATATTCCAAGAACTGTCTTGACTTTTCATGATTTGACCTGAATTTATGGCACTATGATTTAAGTTAAAATCCTTCGGATCTCTGTATTTTGTAGAACCATTGACATCTTTTATATCAACTGCAATTTCATCTTTGAGATCATCCAAAGAAGTCATTCCAACTATAGTAACTCCTAGATGAGCCCGGGATGCATATCCCATCGTCAGGCATAAAAAAATTAAAAATACCTGCACATGCCTCACTCCGTAGCCATACTTTACAGTCGCTTGAATTTCTGAAATATTTAAGTTCACTATTTAATTTTTGAGATCAAGAAAATTTTTTGCGGATGATTGGGGTAATCTGGCGGAATCGTTGTCCAGACAGAGTACAGAAACAAATGAAAAACAATGGGAAAGTTTTCACCCGAGTAGGGGATCATATTATTAACTAAATCATTGTTCCATTTTAAAACTAATAATACAAGGAATAAAAATAAATGTTAAAAAGTTACTGGATTCCGGTTATAAAAATTAATGTGATATAAGTATTTACTTTACTGAATCAGTGCGAATAGAACAAAATATTTGCTACAAAATAGATTTCAGCATATCCTATTTCGTATCAAAAGAACATTAATTTATTCTTTCACGGTATTTAAGTTACGCAGATTATGCATAAGGCCAATGCATAATTCAAGTGGAAAATATCTGATTTTGCGAAGTAATAGGATATTGATGCATGAGAGGGTTTAGTATTCGATGCATTAATTTGAATAATCGGTTGATCAACAACTTGTGCTAGAGCAATGATAAGCTCTAATTGTTGCGCTATACTGACGAAATTTAAACTTACTCATATTTTGAAAGTTAAAGCGATTTTTTTTAAATATGATAACATTTATTATCTAAAACCAAAAAAAAACAAAAATATTTAAATTATTCAAAATTTTCCCTGTCTATTTTCATCTCGTAATAAATTGTAACATTATAAGAGACTCTTTATCATTATCATATGTAATAACTCGTGTTTTTTTATACCAAGAACTAGATTTGTAGATCACTGAATAATAACAAAAAATATAACTATATCTTAAACAGACTAAATTACTCCATGAATTTTTCCGGCACAAATATATTATTATTTCATTTGGATCTTAATCAAAATAAAATTTATTGATTTTTTTTTTACTATTAAATGGTTTTATATATTTCATTTTTATTTAATATATACTTTAACTGACTTATTCATAATAGGATATCAAAGAGTCGCATGTTTCTCTAGTCTTAAGTAATAAGAATTTTAGATAGGATATTATTAATATTATGAAAATGAATAACATTTCACAGATTCAAGTCTTATAGTAAATAAATATAATGATTAAATGCAATAAAAATACAAATTATCCGTTTCTTTTCATTTCTGAGTCTAAATCGTCCTACAAAAGTTTGTTAAGAGACATTCATTATCATATTTATATGAAAAAAGAATCTGTCTGTTCACTAACTGTTCAGAACCCTTCATTATGGACTGATAAAAACTTCCTGATGAAAAAATGGTAAAACTTCCCTGATGAAAAGTAATTTTAAATATCATTTATTTAGATATATATTTTTGTATGGTGTCAACTTTATGAGCATTAATTATTATTCTTGGTAAAATTAAGTTTTTAAAATTAATGTTGAGTGAAAAATTTGTTTAAATTTAGAAATATGAAAAATAGCTTAATAAAAACGGGGGCGCAATATTTTGAAGATTCTTCGTTCGAATTCTACTGCTATCTATGACTTTTTCATTCTATGTATAATGTTTCACTGCAAAGTTTTGTTCCACATTAATATGTTAAATTAATAAATTCCCCTATCCGTTTTTGTTTTAAAACTTTCACCTACCTTTTTTAATTAATTGAATGCAGTTATAACCGCTATTTTAAAGTGCCAAATGCATATTTCTGGCTGTTACATTCTCAACGTTAAACCTAAAATTTTAGAATAATACTATTCTTGATACTATGGCTAATATTCGCATTAAAAGCAACATGTCTTTAATGTTATGTAACTATATGACAGAACGTCTGTCAGATGAGTTAAATAAACATACTTTTATTTGTTGAATATTTTTCGACTCACCCTCTTTCTCATCTTCCTGTAAGGGTACTTTATTATATTCCGTTTCCGTCATTATAGAAACAGGAAAACATATAATTACTTATTCCTAAAACTAAATATCTCTAATAAAACTTGTGAAGTATGATCGCAACTGTTCACTCTTTAATCAGTTTCAATTATATTTATATTTGATAATAAAACAGAAGCGCCTTCGTTTTGAGTTGTGTTTTATACATATAAGTTTGAACTATTTTCAACACCTACATATACTATAAATACTAATTTTGGTCAATATATATAAATATTAGTATAGATATTCATTTAACAAACATTTTCAATAAAAAATATGTAACCGTTAATAATATGCCATATTTCTTACGGCTATGTTGATTGTGTCAAGGAAAATTGATTTTGTCATAGAAACCTGGTACTGAATTAAGATTTATTGCCTTTAAAGGACAGGGCCTTTTAATTATGAAACATATTTCATAAATAAAGACTGTTTCGGAATTCGCTTTTACAGTAAAAAAAATATTTGAACTTTGTATTTGATATTAAATGAAAACCTGAAGTTTTATTTTATTACATAAACCATTATTTAAATTGCAACTTCTTTGTTACTTGAAGTGGCTTATGTGTTATAAAAAATATTATTTTACTATTTAAGTAGGCTTTTAATGGCATTTTTTATGGGAAAAATTATTAAATTTATTGCTGTTCTTCAACAAGACAACTATTAATAGTCTTTGAACAATTTATCTAAGTTAAATGTTGTTATCAAAATAAACAAAGGAAAACTATAAAGCTACCGTCAGGTTATTTGCATATTTTACCTATCAAAATAATTATATAATAATACTTTTTACAAGGAAGTCAATGTAATTATCAAGATTTCATGGATGTTTTGAAGAATAAGTATTATTTTTATGTACATTATATCCATTTAGGAAAACAAAAATGGTGGAAAATTTATTTTACCAAGTTGTCTTATACTCACCTTTAGTATTTAATATTATATTATTAAGTTCTTTCCAATTCCGTAGATAAATTATTGTAAAATATTTTCAATGACTGACATAAAATTTTAGAATTTTTCTAGTAAAACTAACAAATTGAGAGTTTTATTTGGTTTTGTTTTATTTTCTATTGTTGATTTTATATTACATTTGCCTTCTGTTATTATTTGAGTTTCCAATATTTGAGATAATTTCCTTATGCCTGCAAATGAGTTTTTATATTTATATGTTAAATAAACCCACAAACTTGACTAAATTGACTAAGTAATAGCTAATTTTTTGCGTTCTAAAATTACAAGCTAAATTTAGTTCTAACAAACAAATCAAAACACCTTTAAGTCATAAATAATCAGATTATACTCATCACCTAAAAAATAAATAAATCATATGATAATTTTATTTATTCGAGATAACACTGAGACTTTTACAAATTGAATGTTAATGCAGATGTTTAAATGACTGTAGGAAATTATAAATCATAATACGAATTGAGAGCGACGTAATAAACGACTATAAAATGGTAAATGAAAGTAAAAACAATGACGATATGGATTCGAAAATAAAACAACCGGAAGATGACGGCGATTTCAAAGGTAAGGCTAAAATTTATTTATAATCGAATTCTCGCCAATATAATGATGGACTGATGAAAGAAGGTCTTTAGAATATTTGGATCTCAGATGTTTTAAAGGTGAAAACAGAAAAATGTCGCTGGAAGGTGGATTTTCACACGTGACCTTCTATTCTAAAAACTTTCTTAAATTAAGTACAACAAACTGAAAATAATATAGTAGTATTTATTTTGTAGTTCCTTAAAGTTTTTTTGAGCGGGCATGGAATCGTACTTTATTTGTTTCCAAGTTTGAGATAAACTTACTTAATTTTGGGCAAAGATTTAAAAGGTCAATTATAATAAGATGTATATTATTAAAAGTTTCAGGTTGGGGATATAGACACCAACAATGTCTTATTCTCTTCTTCGCTCTTACAACTGCATACAGCATGCGAGCATGTATGGGTGTTGCTTTGGTGGCTATGGTTGATACAAATTTTCCAGAATTTACAATAGAAGAAAACCATATAGCTAACAATAGTATTTTTGGACAAGATATAGCTAATATTACTAATGACTCTCATGGTGATGGATTTTTACATTCACTTCTTTTTATTCCGCCAGCCAGTAAGTAGACGTATTTTTTAAAGTAATGAATGAATTGTGGACCAAAGACATAAATTTAGAATTGTATACCTTCTACCCTCTGGAAGTCGGTTCAATGTTCTTATAGATACATTTAAAATGCTTGGTTACTGTGTTAAAATGGTCAAAAAAGAATATAAAATGTTTTGAGCAACAATGGCATTTTATATAAAACAAAGATACTAAGAAAAGGTTGATTTAAAGAAATAAAATTATTTGCTTGTCTTTAAGTATCCCCAATTTAAGTGGAGCAAGAAAACTCAAGATATTATTTTATCGTCATTCTTTTGGGGATATATGCTGTTACAAATTCCTGCTGGTCAGCTGGCCTACAGATATGGAGCTCGACATTTGCTTACTACTGCTCTCTTGACCAATTCTGTTTTGTCATTTTGTTTTCCTTGGGCAGCATTTTATGTGAGTGAGAACAAAATTTGTTTTTTTTGATTAATTATCGTTGGTTTTTTATAAATTCTCCTTCAATATATATGTTTTTTAATTACTATTATGTAATCATCATGCAATATTTATTTTTCAAGGGAGGTTGGGTACTGACAATGATATTTCGAATAGTTCAAGGCCTCACTCAAGCTTGCATTATACCAGGAATGCATACAATGTTTGGAAAATGGACTCCATTAGAGGAGAGGGGAAGGTTGGCGGGTTGGGCTTATGGAGGTAAGGCTATAATGAAGAGCTGTAGAATAAACTGATTTCAATATTTTCAATCATGATTTTCTTTATCAAGATATATAACTAAAATATCTATGAATAGAAATGTATACCAAAAAATGTAGATATTCATTATGAACACTTTCGTATTTCAATTGTATTTTCGTTTCTTTTAATTATCTATAATAAAAAATGACAATTAAAACTAAATCTAGGTCAGGCGTTAGGAGCAGTTTTAGGACTTCCCATAACTGGTTTTGTGGCCTCTTCTCCACTTGGATGGCCAGGGATCTTTCGCTTCTATGGAATACTAACAGGGATTATTGGTGCCGTTATGTTGAAATATGGTGTTGATAGTCCAGCCAAACATCCAAAAATATCTTCAGCAGAGAGACGATACATTGAAGAAAGATTAGGAAATGATAATCAGAGCGCAGGGGTAACTACTCACCCTTCAAATTTATTTAATCATAATACAATAAATAACGAAAATCACATGTGATAAGTAGTTATACATATATGTCTCATCGAATACATTTTTTATGTACACAGAAGAAAAATCCAATACCGTGGTCTTCTATACTAACTTGTCCTGGGATGTATGCAATTATTATAGCACATATTGGTCAAACTTGGGGTCAGCTAACTCTTTATTCAGAAGTGCCAGCGTTCATGGACAAAGTAGTTGGAGTTAATATAAAAGCTGTAAGTACGCTATTTATATAATTTATATAATGTTAAATAAAAAAACTAGCCGTTTAATATTATTATGGTTCTTTCATAGAATGGTCTCTTGACGGCGTTGTTGCTTTCTTATGTATGTGGGTGACAAACTTTTTCTTCAGCTGGTTCACAGATATGTTGATTGTAAAAAACATTCTCAGTGTACGGAATACAAGAAAGTTAGCTAATTCGCTAGGTCAGTACAAAAATAAAACTTTATTATACCTAATTTTAATAAAATTGTTCTTACGTGTTATAATAATTTTTTATTGCAGGATATTTCCCGGCAGGTCTGGGAATGATTGCTTTAGCCTATTTACCCAAAAACATCTATATTGTGGAAACTCTACTCATTATCATTTGTTCATTTTCAATATCAGCACATGTTGGTTTTCAAGTGAGTGGTATTTATACTAAGCAATATACTTTTCATAAGATAAATATGAAACATTATATAAAAATAAAAAGTTTTTAAATCACAGTCTAAAACTTTTTCGCAGTTATTGTTAAATAATCTTGAAAATTTTAATATCAACTGTATTCAACTGCATTCAAAGATCACTTGTATCTCCTAGACTATTTGTCTATAGTTGACTCACTGTCAGATGAAAAACATTAATGTTAGTGCATTATTTTGTTTATTTGCAAAATATTTCTTTGTGATTTTTGCTATTTAATTTTTTTTCGTTTAAATAAAAATAAGTATCAGTATTACCAGCAAATATAACTGCTGATAATGTAATTGATGATATTATTTCTAGTCATGATATGAGCATTACCTCGCAGAGAAAACGATTCAACCTATGAATTATTTTTGATGAATAGTAAAATCTATTTTTTAGTCAGTGGTGGCTCAGTGGTTAAAGGGCCTGCCTCTCGTCACCGAGGGCGCGGGTTCGATCCTGACCCGGGCAAGTACCAATGTGATTTTTCCGAATCATATGTACTTTCTAATAGTATTTAGACATCACTGATTAATGTTGATTCCCAAAAGAGGGTTGATGTCAGGCAGGCGGCCGGTCGTAAAACAAATAGCCAAAAACTATTCACAACATGTAAGGCAGACCCTGGCTGTAGCTGGGAAATTGCCAGGTAGAAGAAGTAAAATCTATTTTTTAAGAGTTGCCTTAAATAGTAGGGTGGAACATCATATATACGTATACGTCAAACCAAAAACCTTGAAAAAATATGAAAGGTCAGGAGATTAGTTCATTTTTAATCTTAATTTTAAACGTCTTGTTCTAACTTTTCTATTATTTTTTACACAAATTTTTCAGTACTGATTAATTTTCGTTTTCCAAAATGAAGGACGGTGTCACATGTCTCAACAGATAATTTGATGATGTAAAGAGACACATAATCTATGAGTCCACATGTTTTTAAAGATTTGACAATCTTGAAATCAACAGTGATGAGTCAAGCATACACAATAGAATTATGCTTTGTCTGGCAAAAGTGAAAAGTAATGCTAGATAAGAGACATATGATCTACTTAAATCTGTTTTTAATCCATTATTCACGTTTGTCATTCATCCTTACTTGATAAACTTAAGGATCTTGGAACTCCCTAACAGTCTACTTGTGTATATATGTAAAACAAATCTTAAAATATTAATTTTAAACACTTCATTAAAAATATTCAAGAATATAGATTTCATGATAGATTTACACTAAAAAGTGTTATATAATTTTATGATACCACGTTAGTAGTGGAATGTTTTCCTTTCGTAGCCATTTAATTAAACATTTATTAGAGAATTATGCGAATGAATGTATTATGATCACATTTTGAATCTTGATATAGTAAATAAGAAATATCGTACAGCGACTGTTCCTAATGTAAAATGTTATTTTATAAATAGGTCATTTCCCACTCAGCTATAAGAGCAAAGATGATACCTTAAGATAAAGATAAATGATATAATTTTGTGGGAATAGTTGAATACAGTCGGTAGTAGGTATAAATAACTGTTCACACACTCGTTTATAAAACCTGTTTTAAAAACATTCCACTATCAACGTAGTGACATAAAATTATCTAACACTTTTTAATGCAATTTTACGATTTGTTTTACATATACAAGAAGACTGTTAGAGAGTTCCAGGATTGATATGTTAATTAATATGTTATTTTCAAAAATCTGTGTATCGTGTTTTTATTAAATTAAATATGGAATAGTTTTACTTCTTTTTCACTGAAGTGATAAAATTTTGTTAAATTGTTATGATTTTCTTATAGCCATGACTGTTACAGATAAACCACATTGATATCTCCCCAAACTTTTCGGGGACTATGATGAGTATCAGCAACTTTGCGTCTAATTTGGTTGGATCTTGTGCTCCTTTAGTTGCAGCTTATATTCTTACTGATGTGGTGAGTTATTTTAAGATAAGTTTGCTGTGTGACAAACAAGTTTCCATCGAATTTTCTATCATTCTTTTAATTCTTTACTACGGATTGACGTTACATAAGAAATATTCAATATATATTCATAATTTTGTTTTTCTTTAAAATAATATTAAACTTAATAGCTGAATAATAATATAATTCAATGAGAAGGATAAGAGATTTCTCGACGAAGCAAGAAACTGAAACCTCTTAAATATGAAGTTGCAGTTGTTTTTTAATTACTAGTATATCGTGTCCAGACTCGAGTTGGGGAATTAAGTTTTTGTGGCTTATATTTCCTTTAATTGTAAAATTCAATTACTCAGTTCCAAACATTTCTATATCCATAAAATTCATTCAACCATTTTAACGTTTTCTCCTGGTTCACACTAAAACATAATATTTGGTGATCTCCGACATTGCCAAAGACATATTAAATATACCGTCAGCTCTTCTACGATATTACTTCAAGGACTTGTTATAATATATATGAAATATCTATTTTATAACATTCAATGTAATTTTTTATTAGTCAGGCAATTTTAAAATGACAATATATAAATAAAATTTTCAAATTTTTTTTGTTAAACAGACAGACGAATACTTATGGAGGAAAGTGTTTTTTGTAGCTGCTGGTTTATACTTCTTCACCAACGTCATTTATTTAATTTTTGGCACCGCTGAGAGGGCTGAGTGGGACAACAACAAGAAAATGAGTATTGACTATGAATTAGAAGTGATGGTAAAAGAAAATAAAAAACAATTTAATGACGTAAAAGTATAGTTATGAAAATATTAGCAATTTTTTGTAGATTAGAGGCTATAAAGCCAATTTTAAATCAATTATTCTTCATTACTTGTACTTAGTTGGGGTAATCTTTGTATAACTATTTAAAAAAGCCAGTTTGTATGTAAGAAAAATATGAATCATCTAATGATTATTCAAGTCTATTCAGAGAGCCCAATTAAGAAGTCAAAATATGTTCCTATTAATTGAAATCTCTATGCCTGTGATAATGTATTGTACCCTTCAAGTTTCAACTAAACAAATCAAATAACTTGTTCCTAATTATAATAAAACAGTTATAAATTGTAATAATTATTATTGTATTAATTGTTATAAATAATAATTTTTACAAATTAAATTAAAAAGAACAAAATATTGGTAACTGTCATCTATAATTTATAAATTTACTTCCTCGTGTATGTTGTGTTCTTTTAATAGCAGCTAAACCCCCACTTCGTATTGTTGCCTCATTTTCTGTTATAGTGCTTAATGTATTTTTTGTATTGATTGTTTGTCTGTCATGCGTTACTTGTCTCTTTTATTAATAAAATCTTCAATCTTCTATTAATAATATTAATGCATCATCCTGATTTTTATTTCAACCCCAAAAAGTAGCTCAAACGGCGTCATGTTGATACTTTTGTAGAGTGAGTTATTTAGTCACCGTTGAGTACTCGTGTTTTTAAAGTTTCATAATAAAATAGGTTATCTTCCTGCACCTTCTTTGCTTCGGACATTCTAACTAGATTGACATCGCTTCCTGTGTCGATACGCGAAAATACTTTAAAAAAATTGTATTTCACCTTTTTATACGTAGTCTTGTCTTCTTTAGTCAGTTCTCTAACTTTAAACGTCTTTTTAAGTCTATTTGGACTTCAATTTCTCTTGTGTCCAAAACCGTTGCACTTAAAACATTTGAAACCTTTCATACAAGCAGGAGACTGATTATCTAGAATCTAGATTACCGCGGTCCAAATATCTCTTAACATTGTTAGTCTTGCGATTTGTAGTATTACTCGTGGTGGAATGACTTGAACGGGAAGGTAATTTCTTATTAATATCATTGTACTTATCCAACTTCTAGCTAAATTCTGTAAGATTGATCAGTTAGTTTCTTGTGTATGGCGACACTTTTAATTCATTGTCCAAATTTTTCTTTTTATTGCTCTTTAAGATATGACGAGTTTATTACACTTTGATACCGCAGAAAGAGTTTGGTAGTTAAATTAAAAATCTATTCCCGTCCGGTAATCCCAGCTAATTCCGTCCCATAAGCAGTGGAATATCCTCAAATTTGTCTATGCACGTTTCGACTGGATAGATATCGTCTCCGGTAAAAGGTATCATCGAATTTAGGATCTCTCTGAACGGTACGTATGGTTCACCCCCATCTTTATCCGTCTTTTAGCACCTAGCTGGTGGTTTATAAATATCTGTATGCGTTTTAAGCTTGTATACACGACAACTTTGTTCTAATTATTATTAGATATGAATAAAATTCTATTAGCAAATGAAGTTTGTAAGACTGGTGTGGCTCAGTGATATTTTTTTAATTGATTTTTATCAGTTATCATCAAGCTAACAATTTTAGGTTAAAGAAAGGCAAAAATCTAACTGAGAAGGAAAAAAATTTGTAGATGAAAACAAGTTGTTACAAAAATTCTTCTGAAATGTCATTTAAGAATGTAAGTAGTGTCGTTTCAGGCCATCCATATTTATTTGTACTCTATTGAATATAGCCAAATAAAACTTTTTTTAAATTGTAATATGCGGTTCACAAATTAATAAATGAAATAATAAATATAATATACAGAGTAAAATATAAACTCTTTTTGTTGACTATAAAATTCTAATAATGTCTACTTTCAAAGTGTTGGTAATTTTTAAAGCAAATATTTAAAAAGTGACATACTTCAAATTCTAATGACTAAGTATTGCAAAAAGGTAAAGTAGAGCCTTACGAGAAAGAGAGTGATGTTAGAAAGAATTCAATGAAGTTCGCCTTTTAATGTAGGTAGTGAAATATATAGTCTCACATACAAAGGCAAGGAATTTAAAAGCAAATTCAAAATTGTCAGCTGGCTGCGTAAAATAATTTTATTGTTAAGGTTAAGTTTAGGTATGTAAAAGTCTGAACCCACATATAGATATAAAAAAAATTAAATACAACACACCGTTAACAAGGGTGTTGGAAATTTAATTTTTGCTTAAGATAAGGTGTTTCTGGACTATTTAGTCACATCAACACACTTTGATGAACGTCAAATTGCCGTGGATATGTAGGTACTAGTTCCTGTGAAATATTTCTGACCTGTGACATCTTAAGTTTTGATGCGACACTAAAATAAAAGGAGTGCAAAAATTAAACGCAATACAAAAATTGAACAGAACCTTAACTTTATTTAATAGCTCCCCAGTCGTATTAAAATACCACTTACCTGTGTTGAAACATTTTCAATATTAATCTCAATATTTTTTTTTTGCGCTTTTATTTTAATTAATATTTTTTTCCGCGTACCAGTAACATGAGAACGTGCTTCAATTTTGGGTGAGTTGTTATTGTTAAAATAATAAAATATGTACAAAAAGAATAAACATCTTCTTCGTCTACCTGGCAATTTCCCAGATATAGCCACGGTCTGCTTTACATGTTGTGAATAGTTTTGGCTATTTGTTTTTAAGACCGGCGCCTGCCTGACATCAGCCCTCTTTTGGGAAAAGGAGAATATACATCTTATATAATATATTTCATAAATTGATCATTTACGTAAATAAAATTGCTATTTTAGTCATCAAATTTTCAAATTTTACTTTTCATTATACATTATAAAGATTTGTTAACAATTTAAACAACAAAATATGCCAGTACCTCCATTATATCTGGTAAATGACTTCTGCATCTGTATCGAATCAATGCTTAATATATTTTACCAATACCATTGTATTATAAATACAAATTGTATTCCTAACTCCAAAATAATGAAATCGTTTTGCTAAATAATATTTGAAAGCAGATTTCGATATAATAGCAAACTGAACACATGTACACCAAGTTATTGACGTTACAACGATTTTGTAATTCATACTCTCAATATTCGATTATAATTACTTTCTTAATGTTAAAATGATAATTTATAAATTGACATACGAATTATTTGAATAAATATGATTTAACTTTGTAACGTTATTCAGATGGTAAACTTTATTTCTTTTTCTTTTTTTTTTAAATAAACTCCTATTATACCAAACACTTTGGTTATAACTCACAAATGCGGTATTAAAATAAGTCAATATATTACGATTTAAAATTAGTACTATGGTATGAAATTATTGATCATATAGTGAACAGAGAGAGGAGCCGCAGTAACCGAAGTATTCAAGCTTTTGATGAATAAATTTGAAATGACTGATTTCATCCAGAGTTTACCTTTATCTCTAAAAGATATTAAGCCATAGACTATGCGTGTGAGTTTCTAAGAATAACTGTTTCGAGATGAATTCTGATTGCTTAATGCTACGGTAAGGTTTTTTAATATCCTAATTGACTAGAAACAAGAAACTTTAAGTCACGATTTTGGAACTAAATACGCAGTTTATTTAGAAAGAGAACAACCGCGGCACTACCTCTACTATAATTTAATAATTCATTGAAAGTATACCTAAAGGTATTATCAACTTAGATGCATATTACTTTTAAATAAGAAAAACAAAAATATTAAATTTTTTTTTTTTTATAATTCAACACTATTTTATACATATTTATTTTATGTTATCTGAAAGATATTTAGCTAACCTCATAGAATAATTAATTAACGGTAAATTAAACTCCAAGGTTGGCAATTACTGTTACCGTTATAGTTGTCTTTGCTAAAGTTAATTTGTTTGAGACTGTGAGTGAAATTGTTTTGTTTTATTACATCATATACATTGTTTTGTCAAATTAGGATAAAACATTTAAAAATTGTATAAAGTATGTAAAGAAAAAAATTAACCTGCTCATTCAAAATTCAAATTTCCAGTTACAATAAGATAGATTGCAGACGAGATGTGAGTCCGTGAACACGGTTGCTGTAAAATAGCCGAAACGTCAGGAGTTTGTAGTTTATAGTAGTACTCGCGAAAATCTTAGATCTCATTACCGTTTTAAGAAGTAAAATTTATTTCATTTGTTTAAAAAGTACGTAAAAACAATCAGTATCACATATTTTAACAACAATTTATCGTCCATCTTCAATTAAACTTAAATTTCACTGAGTTAAAACACGGAAAACATTGCTTGAAAATTAATATCTTTATATGTTATTGCAATATTTTAGACGTAAAAATTTTATATTTAATCATTGCATATTATATTTTAATGAGAGCTATTTTGTTGACCCCAAAAGTTTCAACAAAATAGCTCATCAGTATATAAGTTTTAAAAAAATTTAATTAAGAAACATGTTATGATTTCCCACTTCAGATAAAAATCAAAACATTGTCAAGATTACGACTGATGGATGACAAGACCTTTAATGAACGTCTCTACCTCATATGCTCGTGATCACGGCTACTGAAGTAACCGAAACGTCCTGAGTATGTATATAGTTAAAAAAATATAGTACGCGGAGTAATCCGAAAATATTTTATTGAAATAAATACCCGCGAAAGTCTTAAACATGTACTTTGTTACTCATAAATAAACATATTTGAGACCTAAAACTTTTTTTTTTGTAATATGGACAATATTTGAAAAGACAATCTTACCTTAAAATATTATTTAAACATTTTGACTTTATTTTAAATGGTTTCTTTAATACCTATCTATTTATGTATTTATTTAAAACGAAAAGACATTTAAGATAATCAGTATCTTGATAGCTATTTTCTCAGTATACAATATTTTGAAGTTTTCAAGTTCATAATCAAAATAAGAAACACTAGTGTGTTTTAATACTGAATAAAAGTTTCAATTT